TCATAAATTTGGAGACAAAAATAACATAATTTTTTAAACCTAAAACCCTATAAAATTTCATTTAAATTTTTTGGCAATTATTCGGTAATGAACAGAATTTCAAATTTTGTAGACATGTTTTGGCCTGTCATTGAATTGCACAACATGAATGAAACTGAAAAACGTATCTCTGTTGCAAAATCCAGTTTCCCTTTCTGACTGACAACAGCTCGTGGGTAATAGAAAAAAAGAATGCAAGCCAAAATATACGAACCTTTGAAACCATTTTCATGACTCCTGTATTTAAACTGAATGTATTTTTTTTTAATTTCTAATTCTTCTAATAAACATAATATTTTATTTTATTTTTTCCTTGATCATTTCACCCCAAGCAAGGCGACAAAAATGCAAGTGGTTACTGGAATCGAAAGAAAACCTCTACTCCTGTTCAATAGACGAGGAAGGGGTGTGAACTGGGAGATTGGCGAACCTATCTACACCTATAAATAAATAAACAATTTAGATTTTAAATTTGATCATCGAATCGTCAGCGAACAGGCATCTTCCGAACTATTATTATTCAACAAGAATTGAATTGCTACATTAAAACTATTCCTGTCAACGCATGCATTGCGGAAAATATGCTCTAATTTTTCATACGACCGAACCGTGACATCGAAGATTATAATTATTTAATGTTAACGTCTTTCTGTTCTTAAAATAAGTTACGCTAGTATAGATTTATTTGCCTGTCTGTTAGCAAAATAAAACGGACAATTTTGAATTTTATTGGAACTTTTCCTCCTCCAGTATTTATTGTCGAGGTGAAGTGGATTTGAAAACATTCAGGTCGAATAACCATTTCAAGTGCCAGCATCTCTGATGCGATAATGATGCTGGAGAAAGCAATCCAATCGGAATTGTCCATGCGTGCAGATAAGATTCCCCGAAGAAACGACATAGGCCGTCGCTTCCAAGGCCACTCATTAGATCGTTTCATTCCTCTGCGTTTTCTTCCTTTTTCTTCTATCGTCTTCTTACAGTATTTCCTCGATTATCTGTACAGCTGGGGACAGGTTTCAAAATTCCGGATAACTGAATAGCTAAATTATCGAAAGAGGTGGGGAAAAAAAGAAGTAATTTTCTGAAATTGAACATTTATATCATCAAATAACATTTTCAAATGCTTTGTTCAATGTTTATTGATCCATTTAATTTATGATGTCAATTTTGGGGAGTTTCCGGCTGGTTGTGTGTTTTTCTTCCACCAACGAAGATGAATTAACATACAACAAAATTGTCAAAATCATGTAACAGCATAAGTGTCCATCTCACAAAATGTTTAATGTCTTAAAAAACACTAAACTAATTGAGTTCCTTTTTTCGCATGTTTTCACGTAAGCCGTTTAGCTATTTTTAAACCATTTTTTGTAAGAATGACTGAAAAGCTCTTTGAGATATTCAGTTAAAAAGAGATCAAGTTAAAATTATCTTGTGTCAAACACACTGTCTTCCTAAATGAGCAATGGTAAGAAATAGATCATTCACGCTTTCTGTAATGGTACCAACATTCATAATCTGGCTTCCATTTTTAAAGTCCTTTCAAGAACCATCAAGAGAAAGGTGAATTAGTTTAAAAAAAAGTGAGAACAGTCGAAAGGAAAACTGGATCATGAGGTCACAACCGGAAAAGAGATCATTCTTTCAACTTAGTGTTAAAGAGGACAATTAGAAAAAGATCCAACTCAATCCATAAGACGTTTGGCACTTGAGAGAGGAGTTTCAGCTATGACAGTCCAACGAGCAGTGAAAAGAATACTTGAAAATGAAATCGTACGTGAAAACTGTAAAGTATACTGTTACTGCGCGACAGAAAGTTAGTAGGTTAGAGAGGGCGAAGATCATCTTGAATAAGTTTGAAAATGACACTGAAATAATATATATATATATATATATATATATATATATATATATATATATATATATTTTTGAACTTTATTTCACTACATGATGAGTTTTCGAACCATAGCAATGATTCATTAATGATGACCATGTCATTTTCGTTTATGATCGATTTCATCACGATTTTTCTGTCATACTTGAATAATTATTCATTCTCATGTAGATTCCAATAGCGCTACAAATACCTCGGAGAATTCCAGTAATACATCTTTAATCATTTCTAAGATCCAACGGTGGTTCTTCTTCTTCTTCTTCTTCTAGTCACTCTTTTTATTTATTTATTTATTTATTTATTTATTTATTTTTACTTCTTATTCTTTATTCGTCCGTCCTGGGTATGACGATTAACTACGTCCTGCAGCAAGAGTTCTGATTAGGATGTTTTGAAGGGCGTGTAACCACCTCTTAATTACCGTTGTTCTCATATCCACCCTGATACGTGGTAGCAGAACCTGTTAGAGTCCCAGCTACATGTAAACAGTGAACCCCAAACTGGAGTAAAAAAAAAAAAAAAAAAAAAAATAAATAAATAAATAAAAAACTGAAAGTATAGATTTTAAAAATAAATAAATAAATTACCAGCAACAAATTAAAAAAAAAATTACCATCAAAAGAACAAAAGGAGCTGATATGCCGTTAATCAAACAAACAATATTCCTTATACGTCACTTACTTTCATATATTTTCGTTAAGTTTTGGTTTTTTATTCATTGACCATACTTATTAGCCACGTTCTGAGTTGATGCCACAAGTATAGGCCTGAACAATGTTTGCCTATAGACTCAAGTACAAACACGAGCAATAGACTCATGCATAAACGATGTCAATGTTTACCTTTTCACTCAAGTATGGACAGGATTAATGTTTAAGTTTGACTGTAGTATAAAATCGACTAATGTTTACATTTTTAAAATATCATTTCATTCCAAGTAAGGCAATAAAGCTACTAAGACGCAAGAGGGTTACTGAGTGTTAGACTATATAAGGAAAAAACACCATCAAAGAGAGAGAACAATAAAATAACAAGAATTAAGAAGATAGACCATAATGACAACGATCAGTGAAAAAAAAACTTGAAAATGGAATCGTACATGAAACATGTGAGTATTAGACTATATGATGAAAAACATCATATAGGCTCAAGTACTAACATGAGCAATAGACTCATGCATAAATGAAGCCAATGTTTACCTTTTTAAAATTTTTGAAGATCAAAGTTGTTAGCATAGGACTTACGGTTACATTCAGCCATTTCAACTGTCAAATAATGTCTAATTGCCGCCAATCTAGTCGATGTTCCATGAAAGTATTTATAGAAAAGTCAGATGGAAGCTACGTTACGGCGCTGGGAAAGTAACTGAAACCGAGATGCCATGTCAGGACCAATAACAATGCAGATTCTTATCTGGATTTTATTAGGAATTTCTAAATATATAGCAGGTGCACGAGACCAGATGCAGCAGCAATATTCAAAGCAGTATTCCAAGATTTATAAATATATAAGATTGATTCTCTCGAGAAAAAATTGTCTATTATGACACAGTGAACCAACTTATGATTATAGATTTAAGTATGGTCCCAATTAATGTTTCCTTGTAAACTCAAGGATTAATAATAGGAATAACACAAATCGATAACGCCTAATAAAGCACACATAATTAATTAAATTTAGTGTGTTTTTAAACACACTAAATTCAATTAATTCTGTGTGCTTTATTAGGGGTTAAATCTGAGCAGATTTTTGTGAAGAATTTACTCAATAAGAAAACTAGAACAACAATAGTGAACAGATGAAGAAAACTATTAACACTATTTACATCATTCGGACCATTGTCCTCATCTTTATTACCATATTCACGATGTTTCGGTCGTTGTACACTCCGGCCTTCTCCAGGTGATATATGCTGAAATTTCGAACCAAACCTTTTATTTAGTCCACAGGGATAGATTGTTCTAGCTCCATTCCTCCTTTTTCGATATCCTAATTTTCAGTTATCATTTTTATTAACTCAACTCTCCAAGATTTTGTTCCCTCTGCTGTGGCCAGATATACCTATAGCCTCAAGTATAAACACGGCCACTAAACTATGGACTCAACTTGTTTTCCTCCCCGATAGAAGTAGATTACTTCGCCTATCGTCCGATTGACAATGGACATACTAATAACTTGCACACAAAATGGATCCAAAATATCCTGTTTTTACGGTACAATGACGTAGTGGATAAAAGCGTTGGGTTGTGAATTAATCCTCTTTATTAATTTGTTCTCTCTGCTATGGCCAGATATTGAACTCAGAACTATTTGGGTCAAGTCACTTTTTTGAATTACTTAAATAGTTACAATACCTCATCTCAGAAATATAGACAAAAGATGAAAAACATTAAAAATACTTATCTTGCGACCGACTTTAATTCCTGCCTGTATACTGCTCGTTAATTCAAAGAGTTGAAATTTCTAGGGCACATAATGAAGAAAGAAGGCTTAGAATATTTGATACACACAGGAAATATTGAAGGCGAGAGGGAGGCAGGAAAATGACGCATAACCTACTTAGTGAACTTGAGTAAAATAAATGGCGGAACAGGGTTGAGGATAGATAGCAAAAAGACAACATTTATTAAAAGCTACAAAGGAGAGGAAATTGAAGGGAGACGGTACCTAGAAAAAGAAGTAAAATTTATGCAACAATGAACAGTTTAAATTAAAATCAGTTGCAATAAATAGCGTGAATATTCAGAACAAGAACCTCGTATTTGAGAAAATCTCTCACAACAATCCTCTTGACAAAATCAAAAAAATTTCAAAAATTGCTCAACATCTCAACACCTCAACACTCTTATCTTTAAAATATCGACTGTTACACACGCAAAAGCATACATACACACACACACACACATATATATTTATATATATATATATGTGCGTTTGTGTGTATGTGTGTGTGTATGCTAGAAGTTGGCTGTCTTTTGTTGCTATGACCGCGTGCAAAGAGAAGTGTTCACGATCGCCAAGTCTGTTAGCAGCATCAAAAGAACACGTGCCTCTTCAGACAACCAATTTAAGATGAGTTATCTTGGGACGACGGGAACTTGCAATTAAAGTACAGCGTTATACTACTCGATGTCGAAGATACAAGAAGAAATGGCGAACCGAGGAACAAATGGTAAACAAGGGGATGCTGGGTCGGTGAAAGAAAATCAGTGATGGATATACTCACTGATATAGGCAACGACAAAGAAAGAAAGAAAGAAAGAAAGAAAGAAAGAAAGAAAGAAAGAAAGAATATAGACGTTAATGAGAGAAAAGGAAAGTAGATGTGAACCAAGAAAAAAGAAGAAAAAATAAAAAGAAAAGGTACGTGATGAGAAAAAGGAAAAAAAAATGATGAGGAAGGAAGGAAAGAAAAGTTTAAAATATACAAGAAAAAAGAAAGAATGAAAAGCCTTAAGAGAAAGAAAAATAAAATGGTTTAAAGAAAGAAAGAACGAAAGAACGAAAGAACGAAAGAAAGGATTAAAATATTGTTTAAAATATATTTATTATCAATATTTTACAAGAAAACGGAAGAATAAAGAAACTGAACATTACTGAAAAGTAATTTCGAAAGAAAATGAAAATAAATATGAATGAGGATTAGAAGCTGAATATTAATAATGAAAGAAAGAAAATGAATGAAAAGTGAAAGGGAAATCGAAGCACGTATATGTTCTCTAAACAGATTAAGAAAAAAAAATAAAAGTCGAAGTAAAAGAAAAATCGTAAAAAAAGAGGAAGGAAAAACCATGGAAGAGAAGGAAAATGGGAGAAAGAATGGAGAAAGAGAAAAAATGGAAGAAAAGGGAAGAGGACTGAAAAAAGAAGAAAAATGGGTGGAAGAGAAAAATAATAAAGAAGCAGAAAAATGGAAGAAAGGGAAGGTAATTTTTAAAAAATAGAAATGAAATAAAAGGAAAGAAAAATGAAAGAAAGCAAAGGAAAATTGAAAAAAGAGAAGAGAAATGGAAGAGAAGAAAATTGGAAGAAAGCGAATGAAAATTGAAAAAAGAAATGAAGAAGAATAAAAAAAAAGGAAAGGAAACTGAAAAAAGAGAAAAATATGCAAGAAAGAAAAGGTAAATGAATGATTGGAACGAAAATACAAAAAAAAAAGAGAAAACAAGAAAAGAGAAAAAATGAAGAGAATAGGTATGGAAAAGAAAGTGTGTGTGTGTGAGAGAGAGAGATGAAAATCAAAATGGAGGAAAGAGAAAAGAAATGAAAGAAAGCAAAGCAATAACAAGAAAACAAGAAAATGGAAAAAGAGGAACAATGGAATAATAAGAAAACTGATAAAGCAGTAAAGAAACCCGAAATGAACAACTCGTGAAAGCCATTAACAGGAAAAGAATTTAGAGAAAACAAAATTGGACAAGTGAGGACTGTGAAGAGAATGATAAGCAAGACAGAAACATACAAAGAAAAAAAGAGTTAGGAAGCACTCGGTTGCATATTATACAGCAAATGATGGTTGTCTGCCTTTGAGTTGTTCTCCACTGTCAGTCCTGACGCCATGTCTCCTTTTCGTCCGAATCCACTTCTGGCTTCTTCGCCAGCAATGATCTGTTCTGCTCACTTAGCTGTCCGGGTAAGAAATTCAGTGAAGCTCTCGATAAGAATCACTGTAATTGTCTCTGTTTTCTAGTATTGCATATTTATATGGAAACCTGCATTTGAGCAATTAAATATTGGTCTGCGCATATCGACATTTAAATGTTAGGGGATTGCGCGCTAAAAGTGACATTAGACTGCAGACTATATATATATATATATATATATATATATATATATATATGTATGTGTGTGTGTGTGTGTGTGTGTGTGTGTGTATCACCACATCAGCGTCGTCATAGACAGACAATTTGATTCAAGCCGTAAAAACAGTCAAAAGAACTCTGACCCGAATATTGCGTCCTATATGGAATTCAGAGTAGTGTTAGAGGTGTGAGATAGTGTGCATATTTATTAATATATAAATATATATATATATATATATATATATATATATATATATGTGTGTGTGTGTGTGTGTGTGTGTGTGTGTGTGTGTGTGTGTGTGTGTGAAAAGTGTATATAAATATATATATGTATAATTATTTATATATTATATGCGGTACTTATTAGAAAGCGCTCAATATCAGAAATAGAGCTAACATATTTGGTTGGATAGATGTGAGTTTGCGACCCTGGGTTTCACGCTTTAGCGATCGTCAGACAAACGTGAAACCCAGGGTCACAAACTCACATCTATCCAACTAAATATATATATATATATATATATATATATATATATATAGAGAGAGAGAGAGATACTACTCTAGGTAGATACTGCTAATATTACAACCTCTTCCGGAATTGATTAGTTAGTCATTAGCGTGTTTATTCACAGAATAAGTACGTAAAAATTCGCCTTTGTTTCAACCGTGGCCCGAAGGCTTGGGGGAAAATCTCCGACTGTTGCCGAATCAATCGGGTTTCGACTCCGGTTTGAAGCAATCGAATGTCTAGCCGCAGTGATGAGCTGTGATACATTAAAACTGTCTGCCTGTAGACAATATATAGATAGATAGACTGGGTGTAACAGCAAAATTGTCTAATTATTAGATTAAGCTTTGAACCGTTGTATATCAGAAATGATTAATGATATCTTACTAGAATTCTCCAAGTTTTTTTATAACACTATTGGACTCTACTTTGAACAATAAAAATGTATTTTTCTCTAAGCTGAAATGATGATCCCTCTTGCTGTTATGAGCTCCTGATTCACTTTTCCTATCTTCTGTTCCCTCGTTTTTTATTCACCGTTCTCTTCATGGTGCTTGAATGGATTTTTAAGATAGAAGCCAGATTATGAATCTTGGTAGCATTACTGAGGGCCTGAATGATCCTTTTCCTCTCAGCATTGCTCACTTGGGAAGACATAGTGGAGCTGACACAAAACCTGGAAAAAAGAAACTCAGTTTAAACATTTTGTTGGATGGACATTTATCTCATGCTGTTACACGGTTTGGACAATTTTACTGTTACACCCGGTACACTCTCGACTCCCCCGTCGTATTCGACGTATGAGGGTCAAGCAGATCAGTTCATGGGAACCGACAGTCCGACACCAGTACATGAGATTTGATTATAGTGGTGAAGGTTTTGTGCAGAACCAACCACACTTTTTGAAGGGACGAATACGTATACCTGGTGCACTACATGCCACAACGTCCCTAAACGACTCTCCGCAGGTTTTGAATTCAGAGTTGTCCTTCTCCTAGACCAGTTGCAATCCAAGGCTATAGAACCCAATCTGTCCTGCTATTTACACATAGCCGGAGGGAGAAGAAGAGGATTCTTACCTTACCCAAGAATATTAGCACATAAGTGAATGTAATGGATGCGACTGAATTGGAATTATATATATATATATATATATATATATATATATATATATATATATATATATATATATAATTTATTTAAAAATCATAACATAAATATATTTATAAAATCACTACAAAAAATAGCCATTTTGTTTGGTGTTGAAACAAAATGGCTATTTTTGTAGTGATTTTATAACATATGCTATAATTTTTATATAAATAATTATATCTGCTCTACTCTGTATTGAGCACTCTTTGAAGAATAGTAATTGTTGGTTATTGGAATTTATTCCGTATACACCAATCAGTCTTGTTCAATATTTAAAGAAGTATTTGTTTTTATTTCTACATATTACAATTAATTTCTCTTGTTTAGTAAATTCAGTTAGTAAAATGCCGTGCACGATACACGATTTCGATACTTGACTGACGAGACAGATTTTTTCCCCACAGTAGGTTGCAGTTTCTTTCTGCAAGAGACCAGTTGCCAGCCAAGGCTATAGAACCCGATCTGTCCCGCATTTACCTATAGCTGGAGAGAGAAGAATAGGATTCATACCTTCCGCAAGGGTATTAGCACATAAGTGAATGCAGTGGTTTTGACTGAATTTCGAACTCAGCTCTCCGATTCCTCAATCCGAGCCGCTATCCATTACGCCACCGTGCCTCCTGATTTAGTAAATTAGGTTTTAAAAAATAGTTAATATTTCTGCAAGGCATTGTTTATGTCTTTATGTATATCGTGCCTGTTGTAACTTCTCCTCTGTGGTTCCTGCTTTTACGAACTCCACGGAAACCTTTGACTCCACAAATCACCGCCCTATTAGTCTTTTACCTTTTTTTTTTACCAAAGTACTCGAGGTTCTGATCAATTTCGAATTGGTTAAGCATCGTGCTTTGCACGACCTTCTTTCGGACAAACAATATGGCTTACATTTCGCCCGGCCTCCCGCCGACCTGTGGAAGGCCATCACTGAATTTGACTAGCAAGTTTTAGATATGAATAGCCAAGCTCGGGCCGTGATTCTGGTCATCTCAAAGGCATTCGACAGGGTTTGTCGTGCTAGCTTTCTCCGCAGTGTCACGGGACAAATATTTGGCTTAATCCAATCATTCCTAACAAATTATGCAATGAAGGTCTTTCTGAACGGGCATGCTTCTAGATCATTTCATACTAACGCGGAAGTTACCTAGGGGTCTATCCTCGGATCTACGATGTTTTAATCAATGATCATCCCGATGTCATCAGTTCCCAATTCTGTATTTATTCAGATAACACAACAATTTATCCCTAGTTTAGTAGTAAGTCTGATAGCCCCGACAAAGTAAAACGAAGAACTGCTCTCGAAAAGGACTTCCAAACAGTGGTTAACTGGAGCTGAAAATGGCTCGTAAATTCTAATCCTTTGAGTTATTCAACTAGAAAGAGAACAGCTTAAAATCGTTTTGTGTCAGCCACACTTTATTCCCTGAAAGGAAAAAGATCATTCAGGCCTTCAGTAATGGTACCAACATCCATACCCTGGCTTCCATTTTCACATCCATTCAAGAATCATTTAGAGAACGTGGACTAAGTTTAAGAAAGAAGGAACAGCTGAGCTCCTTCATGAACCTCCGATCTTTAGCCATGGTTAATTAATGATGAACATGTCATTTTCGTTTATGATCGATTTTATCATGATTTTTTCTGTTAACCTTGGAGTGTAATTATACATTCTTATGGTTCAGTTTAGAGTCCAATAATGTTGCAAAACCTTGGAAAATTCCAGTAAGATATCTTTAATCATTTCTTAAGATAGTTCTTCAAACTTAATCTAATATTTGAACAATTTTGCTGTTAACCGGTTTGGACAATTTTGCTGTTACACCCGGTATATAAATGAGAGCCGCTTAACAACTTCCGTATTTATGACCAACTATAAAATAAAAAAGTTTTTCTTCTAAATCTAACCAGACAGTATTGCATGTTGCAGAAATAATTTTATCGTTATTATTTGCGCTTCCTGCAAAATTAATCAAAATAAATGAATAAATAAAACGAAAAATAAATAAAATTTTAGTTTTACTGCATTTATAGTATACCAAGCGAAATCATGTACAGGATGTAGACCTGATTTTTGAATTTGATTATTGCATTTAGTGTTCAGTACACTGTAAGGATATTTACGAATAAATTAGAAATGTTACAAAAAGTGGCAAGGCAACACTAAAGGAAACTTAAGCTGGCTAACACAGTCCTATTGTACGCATAGTGGGCTTCACATAGCGGTCCTATACAAAATCTCACTTAAAGACCACCTCGTTTAGCTACCTGAACGACGGAAATAGAACTTGACTGAACGAAAAGGAATATAAATATAAATAAATATATATATATGTATAATTATTTATATATTATATGCGCGGTACTTATTAGAAAGCGCTCAATTAGAAAGCGTTTGTCTGACGATCGCTAAAGCGTGAAACCCAGGGTCATAAACTATCTATCCAACCAAATATATATATATATATATATATATATATATATGTTAGGGAAAAGTGGTAAAAGTTTACTTTGTGACTTCAGGACTTCATCGGACTAAATTTGTTGTGTGGGTGGAACAGTCATAGAGGATCACGTATTTAAACAATTGCATTTATTGCGTCAAAATTTTGGTACTGTATTATGTAGTTTTTTTTAAGATTCCCTTATTCACATTCTTTGACACAGATTTAATGCCTAAAATACGTACACACACACACACACACACACACACATATATATATATATATATATATATATATATATATATGTGTGTGGATAGAAAAACAGATAGAGAAACAGATATATATATATATATATATATATATATATATATATATATATATATATATATATATATATATATATATATATATATGATAGATAGCTGTATATAATA